TTATAATAAGGAGAAGGATTAGTACATCATCTATCATGTTCTCTCCTACTAAGTGATTTAATCTATGTAAACAACAAATAGTAAATAGATCTGCACATACGTTGCATGTGGCAATAGTGGCACTGTAGCTTTAGTCTACCTCTAGATTTTAAATATTAGATATCACACTTCTGTCAGGCCTTAATATATTTGTGTTTTGGTGCCTCTAAAGGTTTTGTGTTTCTTTAGAATATAGCTATATCTTAAAATATTTTCTCAGTGTCTATCACTGTTCTTGGCACTTTATGCATGGTTCTTTGAGTGGAATTGTGTTTAGTCTAAAAAAGTGAATGCTTCGATATCCTTGTTTCAGCACTTGTTATAATATGTGACCCAGAGATATATAAAATTTATTCATCTCGGGCCAGGCGCGGTGGCTCACGCCTCTAATGCCAGCACTTTGGGAGGCCAGAGCAGGTGGATCACTTGAGGTCATCAGTTTGAGACCAACCTGGTTAATATGATGAAACCCCATCTCTACTAAATATACAAAATTATCCGAGCATGGTGGCACATGTCTGTAATCCCAGCTACTTGGTAGGCTGAGGTAGGAGAATCACTTGAACCTGAACCTGGGATGTGGAGGTTGGACTGAGCCAAGATCATGGCACTGTACTCCAGCCTGGTCGACAAGACTGAAACTTCATCTCAAAAAAAAAAAATTATTCATCCTAGAGTTTAGTGTATCCTTAGCCTTAATAAAACCACAAAGGTGGCAAAAAAAATCAGTGAAATCACTATTTAAGATTCCAATAAAACAACATTAAAATATGGAATAGTTCACATGTGTTATTTATGGAGAACCTCTTTTCAGGAGATAAAAATATATCTCAAAATCAAATTACATCATCATCCAGGCAAGTGGCTACTATGCCACTGAAGTAGGAAAAAAGCATTAAAATTAACTATAAGCTGGAGAGAGACTATAAGTTGGAGAAAAGCAAATATGTAATGCATTCAACACTCATGACATTAGAATTTTGAATATCAAGTTTAAATTTGAGTGGGCTGTGGGTCATTCTCTTGACTTAACTGCCATGTGATTCTAGGAAGGCTACATGCCCAGAACAGTACAGGACAATATGTGACATCAGTTTGATTTTCTGGCCACCAGAGAAATCTACCAGCTGTCACCACAGAACTGTAATCAATTAAAACACACACACACGCACGCACACACACACACATTTTTCCAACACTGAAAAGTTTCATCTATTTGACTGACTCTCCAAATCTGAAAATGTCAATCCTCTCATTTTTCTAGTTCTCAAAGTGGAGAGGCGGCTGTGACAGTTAGGGCTAGAAATGGAATAACAGAAAGCCCCAACCATGAAGCTCTCTAGGCCCCAAACTATCAGTAGCATAAAACATGACCAAGGTACTTAAATGTTACCATAAGTGTTTCTGTACAAGAAAAAAAAAATGGATTCAGCAGAACACTTTTCAGGAAAAGAACTTCATAAATTGAAAATCATATATTCATAAACTGATTGGAAATACAGTGAGACAGCAAGGCAAGTTTAGACAATCATAGATTGTCTGCAAACCCCACAGAAGATAATGGGAGCCATTTACAACAGTTTTGATTTTGCTGAGTGAGGATATACAAGATTATGGTTAGGGGTAAATTATTATAGATGAGTCTTGGTGTTTCATCATTCAGTAGCAACCACTCTAGAGAGTTCATTTAGAAGTAAAGTCAGAATAAGTATTTTAAAAATACTGTACTGGTATACTGGTTTGAAAAGGCACTACATTTTTACAAATTAAGTTGGAGGTATTTTTTATTTTATTTTATTTTATTTTGTGATGGTGTCTTGCTATGTCAATGTAGTGGCATGAACTCGGCTCACTGCATTGGGTTCAAGAGATTCCCCTGCCTCAGCTTCCTGAGTAGCTGGGACTATAGGTGTGTTACCATGCCTGGTTAATTTTTTGTATTTTAGTCGAGATGTGGTTTCACCATGTTGGACATGATAGTTTCGATCTCCTGACTTCGTGATCCACCCGCCTTGGCCTCCCAAAGTGCTGGTATACAGGCATGAGCCACCATGTCCAGCCCTATGGAGGTATTCTTTTTTTCTGTCTCATTCTTTCCCTCAAGATCTTTGCCATTTCTTGTCTTAGGAGTCCTTTGGCAGAACAGAGACCACCCTCCCCTAGGAATGAGAGAATAGAGAGTAGGGCCTTTCCAATGTCTTTTCTGAACTCCCTCAATGGTTCTTGTGATTCTATGCTTTAAATGCTCCTCAGGTAAACATTGCAATGACACCTCACCTATGCTAAAAACCCTTCACACTTCTATAGTTTCACCAAAGCTTGTTGTACACATGGAATGCTTTGTTTTAAAAGCAAAGTTTCATTTCAACCTTGATGGCATGATCCCTCCTTGTGAAAAGAACCTGGATACTGTTGAATTAGACAAATGATATTATTTTCTTGGGTTGAAAATGAAAATCCCATGAGGTAAATATAAGCCTGCAATAGTTTGTGTAGCTGACTAGGGAACTTTGGAATGCCAATTAGGATATTTGTATATAATACTTCTAAAAGCTAAGAGTGAGCATTTATGATCCTAGAAATGTTAAGCATAGGTTTTGATAGGCCACAGCTATGCAATGTATGCCTCTAAAATATTCCTGTCTTTTAAGCACTTCTACCAGAATTTCTTTCACTGAGCCTTAAGATATTCATTATTAGAGGCTTGTTTTTCTCTCTTAGAAGTTGTTTTTTCTCCCCAGTTTGCAGCACCTTAATAATGTGAAGTAATTCACTCTAGAGAAGCACTGAAGCAAAGAAAAGCTTCCTGGAGACATACTGAGGGAATGACAACGTATCACATTAATTCAGCCTTCCCCTTTTGTCCTCTTCCTATCGACTACAGAAAATTGTCTTTAAAAACATTCGTATGGAAACATACATATACAAGGAGTTTGAAGTGTGTGTCTGTGTGTGTGGGTCTGTGTGTTTTACTTTTGCCTATGCAAAACAAAACCCTCTAGACAGCTGCTAAAGCTTTCTGACATCACCAGGTTCTTTTCTGTGAGTCATTAAGCTGCTGAAGCCTAGAAAATCAAATTTAGTTTAGGGCTGTTTGATAATGTAGTAAAACAGCACATTGTGGTTCACCAATTAGCTCACGTAATTAGAAAATCAAAAGCATGCTCTGAGTGGGTGGTGGGCTCACCTAAGTAAGTCCATTGTCATTGTCATGCTATACTTTCACTGATTAGAACTATAATTACACCTTTAGATGATAATACTACATTCAAATTTTTTACAAAAGGAAATCCACAAATATCTGTGTTTATAAATTACACAAGTAAATTAATTAGTTCAGTCACTCTTTCATTCACTATATTTTCCTTAATTATTTTCTCTTTTTTTTGAGACAGAGTTTTGCTCTTATTGCCCAGGCTGGAGTACAATGGCTCGCCACAACCTCCGGATAATATAGGTTCAAATTATTCTCCTGCCTTAGTCTCCTGAGTAGTTGGGATTACAGGCATGCACCACCACACCTGGCTAATTTTTGTAGTTTTAGTAGAGATGGGGTTTCTCCATGTTGGTCAGGCTGGCCTAAAACTCCTGACTTTAGGTGATCCATCTGCCTTGGCCTCCCAAAGTGCTGGGATTATAGGTGTGAGCCACTGCGCCCAGCCCTCCTTCATTATTTTTTTGCCAGGCTCTGGGTTGGGCAACAGGACTGACTATCTGGGCCTTGCCTGCATAGAGCTCTCTATCCATGGTACTGTTTAAATTCTTCTAAGATAGAAAAGTAAACTGAAGTTAGAATAACACAAAAGTAGTCTTTCTGGCTGATTACTGAATTCTAATGATATTGCCAAGACATTATCAAAAATAAGAAACAACAAATGTGAGAATTTTCTTGCTTAAAGGTTTTGACTGCTTGAGAAGAATTCTGTGATAGATAAAAATGTGAAAGGACTATTTGTTAGATGATGATGATGATGATGATTGAGATGGAGTCTCACTCTTGTTGCCCAGGCAACTCTTGCCTCAGCCTACTGAGTTGCTAGGATAACAGGCATGCACCACCATGACCATCTAATTTTGTATTTTTAATAGAGAGAGGGTTTCCCCACATTGGTCAGGCTGGTCTCAAACTCCTGACCTCAGGTGATCTCCCTGCCTTGGCGTCCCAATCTGCTGGGATTACAGGTGTGAGCCACCTCTCCTGCCTGTTAGATTATTTTAAAACAACTTTTCATACAGCCTCTATGCACATTTGTGGAAATCTAAGGTGCCTGGTTGTATTTAAAATGTATTTCTGTAAATTCAAATCAATACAAGGATTGGTTGGATGGTTGAAACAGTCTGTCAATAGGAATTTCAAAATGTGTGTTACTTTGCTCTTTTCTTACTGCTACTGAGGTACATAGTTATGGTTATATGGTCCAGGGCTTTCCAATAAAGATAATAAAAGGATGATGGGGATGAATTACCAGAGCTTGAGTCACTAAAGAAAAGGTATTCTTAGATGTTGCAGTCATTTTCTGCTATTTTACTGCTCAAAAAAGAGACAATGTTGTGCTGTCATTATCATTGATTTTTTAAGGCCATATTTTAATGTTCAAACATAATATTTTTAAAAAATGAGAAAATTATTTTCCTCATAATTGTAAAATTACCCCTCCCTGATATATTCTTTGTAAACTCACAATATGTATCTTGCATTATTACACCTCCCCACAAGAAAATCACAGAATTCTAAAGGAAGCAATAATCTTTGATTATTTTTTATAGCATCTTAGTCATATATTTTAGAATTGCTTGGAAAATATTTTATTTAAATGAAAATGCACAATCAGAAATATCAAGAAAATGTGGTTATTTATAGCTAGAATGAAAATTTAAGCCCCAAGCATTATTTAAAATGCAGCTGTCTCCTCCTCAACATATACTTAGTAGTTCTCTTCCTTTTTATTCTCTATTTACAGGTCAATGGGACAGAAATCGAATATGAATTTGAAGAAATTACACTGGAGAGGGTAAGAAAAAAGTTTTAAAATTCCAAAACACCAATCTTGCATTTCACATTCTATTCTACGTGTTAATGGGTTGTCTTGTGAAATTGTACAATTGTGTTTTGTAACCTGGAAGTTTCCCAAAGGACTCACAATGAGAATATTAATGAAATGCTCACAGTAGAAAGCATTGAGACAGAAGATCAAATAACAGAATGTTCTGTATGTAAATTTAATTTCCAGGATTTGGAGAAATGAATGGGAAAGTGAAATGTTTGATGAGCTTGTACAGTACTTTGTTCTTGATGGTTTTATTATTAGTGTTTGGTCTATACATTATTTAGATATGTTACAAGATGTTCTCATTTTTGTGATATCAATACTGTCATCATAATTACAGTTACCATTTGCATTTCTTATTTCGTTAAAAAAAAAAAAGTGATGCATTGTAAAACTACTCTCATAGAAAAAAACACAGAAACCCCAGAGAGCTCTGCAAATATGTTGATAGGGCCTTGGCAAACTCCTTTGACAAATTATGGAAACTGTGCAACACAATCCTAATACATTTAGATATTTTACAGAACAATAAGAGAAAGGCCAAAGACTATGTAGAAAAAAGTGACCAAAAGGCATTAACAGGACACTCACTAAAAAAGAAAAAGGTTAAACACCTGAAAACCTGTTCAACCTCACTAAGAACAAAGGACGACACTGAGAGCAAACAGTTTTTGCCTGTCCAACTGGTAAAAACCTAAAAGGAATATGAATATCCAGTGCTAGTGAGAGGTCCTGAAAGTAATACAACCCTAAAAGAGCAATTTGGAAACACAGATTAAAAGCCTTTAAAATGAATACACTTTTTGACCCAGAAATTGTACTTACAGGAATGGACAAATACACAAAGAATGTTCATATTGGTACGGTTTATAATAGTGAAGATTGAAAAAGGTGTTTAATAATAAACAAAAAGAATAAATGTTTAAGTTTATTCATATAATAGAAATTATATATGTTGAATTGGTACTTTAGAAAAATATTGAATCACAAAGATACAAAGTCTACCTAGAGTCAATTATTAAATTAAAATTTAACTTTAAAAATTGTATTTAAGATATCCAATAGACACAAAGCTATGTAATGTAATATATATACATGTAAATATACTCATAGAGCCTGGAAGGATCTATACCAAAATGTTATACATTTTGATAGCTGACTCCTGTTAAGGATTTGGGGATAATTTTTAATTTCTCTTTCTTGCTTACACTTATTTCGTAAACCTATAACAAAAGCATACCATATTTAGTATAAGAAATAAAAATGTAAATGTTTTCACTAAGCCATCATTCAAGCATAAGATTCTAGACCTGCACTTTAATTTATTTCTTTTTTTTTTAGTTTACTAAGTATTCACTCTCCTGAGTCAGAGTATTTCTTATCTTTAGGCTGATTTTATCAAGCGCAAGTGGTTTTAAACAAAAATTTACATTGAAACTTAAGTGTTTGACAGATGGATTCTTTAAAACTTCCATTATAGACCTGATAAAATGTTAATTGTATGCTAACTGGAGAAAAGTAAGGCTTATGGAAATTCAGCTCAAATGAGACAAAAGAACAACACATTTCTCCTAAATCATTAAGTTTCTCTCCGGGACAAGCTATTTGATTTACAGAGTGAAGTACAAAATGAAAATGTGGGACCTTTCTAAACATAGGACTCAATGCAGCTGAACATGTCTCTTGCCCATGAAGCTGAGCCTTCTCCCTTTTCTTCATTCAATGTACATCACCATCTTGAATAGAACACTATTTAGTTCCCCTTGTATTAGAGGTCAAAAAATAGAAGCTAACATTGGTATGAGAAAGAACATTTAGTAGGAGTCAGACAACTGTGATTTCTAGTCTGGTTTCTGATCTTACATGTTTCCTGATCTTCAGCATGTCAACTTACCTCCCTGACTTCCTGCCTTGGGGTTCCTAACCATACTCTGAACCATGTTACTGCCATTAACTGCCCCATCTCCATAGCCCCTATGTCAAGCAACATCGTCTCTGAACACTTCCTCCCTTCTGTTCGTATCATTTATTCTAGTACCCTTTCAATGAAACTTTAAAAACCCATTGAAACCTCAGATCATTGATTTCACCATTTCTACCCAGTTTTATAGAATTTTACAGCCTGGTCAAGGACACAGAAGTAAGTAGGCAAACACTATGAAAATGAGTAGATTGCTCTCTACATGTGATCAGCATGAAGTAATTTCTTGAGGCATCATACCTGAGCTGGCTTATGGAGAGATGGGAGGGAGCAAACCATGTAAAAGGGAGTGGAAACCAGGCATCGTAGCTCATGCTTCAGATTCCAGCTACTCAGGAGGCTGAGGCAGCAGGATCATTTGAGCCTAGTAGTTTAAAGCTGCAGAGAACTATGATTGTGCCACTGCATTCCAGTCTGGACAATAGAATGAGACCTCGTCTCTAAAAAATAAAAATTTTTAAAAGAGGAGTAGAGGAAGGCCTCTCAGATAGGGAGTGGCAGGTGCAAACATTAATGAGCCTATGCAAATGTTAACATGCTCAATAAAAATTCACAAACATTATATAAATATATTCATTTATGTCTAAATACATATGTGCTTGGGTAGTACCTCTGTATTTAATGTTTATATTTGCATATATTTTAAACATACTTAAAATATACACTGATAATTTCACATACATAAACTTTGCAGTTCAGTTAAGAAATTTATCTATTACCAAAATTATTAAACTGTAAGACTATGTAAAAACTGAAATTCTATCAAATATCTACTTGAACCCTGCCTGTTTTTTTATTCATGTCACTACTATTAAAAATAGCTGAAGAGAGCTAGGAAAAAATTAGAAATTTAGAAACTCAAAAGCTTTGTATTATTTGAAGTAACAGATCCTTAATTCTATTTGAAATTAGGAATTTTCATAAAGATCAACAATGTGAGCTAAAAGAATTTGGCCTAAATAAATCAGATATCTAATGATTTTCTAATTATTTTGATATCTAGATGAACTGAAGAGGCCACTATTAGACAACTTTAATGGGTCTCTTCTTACCTGGCAGTTCACTAACACTATTTTTTAAATTCCCCCAGTACATGCCTTATATCCTAAACTTGCTTCTTCTATAGGAATTTGCATGATGCAATGAATCAGTAATTTTTCTTTGTCCTATAAATCATTTTGTTTTGGCACAGGTGAAATAATGACTAACAAAAGTCAATAATTTACATTTGAGGAACTGGTTCAGATCTTTGAATTTTTTAATTAGTTGCAAAAAGAATCCTTAACTTATCAGACAAAACATTCAAATACTACCACATGGCTGTACATTCTGAAGCTGTTGGGAAAGCACTCCAAATGTTTTTTACTTTAGTGAGGGTGTGAGGAATATGAGAGTCAAAGAAGGTAGCTGATAGTCATTTTAGCATCTTTGCAAAACTGTAATTATGCATGCTGATGAGGGCTGTAGAAGCATCATAAATCTATTCTCGATGCTTGGTCAACTAACTATTCTTGATACAAATTGAGTTGGGGGCACATAAGCCATTAATTTCATGCATGGAAAATGGATAAATTACTCAGAGTACACAAAGGCAGACTTTACTTAACTACGCTTGCTAATGTCATAAGAATCCAGGGTGTCAGGAAGTCTTGAGATATCAAAGGTGTCTATGGCTGAGAGGCTCAGATTGTGATGGTAAAAGGAATTTGCAGAATTATACTCTAGGTATCTTTGAATTCTCCCTTCTCTTTTGCATTTTCCCATCCTACAAAACACCAGATACATTCTTCTATCATTCCAATATTCTTTTAAACTATTCTCTTCTCCATCAACATTGGCAGAATTTAGCCATTAATTATTTATCTTAAATGGCATACCTGCATTCTTTCCCAAATCCTATGTATATGCCATATTGCAGCCAAAGTGATGTCTTTAAAACATAAAAATGGTTAAATTGTTTTTATCCTAAAATTTCTCCAAAGACTCTTTATTGTATTTAGGATAAGGTTTAAACTCTTATCTTATTGGTATCTTATCCAAGGCAACCATGGATGCCCTCTTCATCTTGCCAGCTTCATTTATCTCTCAGAGCCCTAGTTCATATCTTCAAGTGCAGTCATTCAGAACTACTTTTATGTATAGAAATATATTTATATAATGTGTGAATTTTATTCAGAGTTTTATTGACTTTGGTTAAAGGTTTTGTAATAATTTTGTAATAAAAGTAAGCTTAATAAAAACAGTAGGTGCTGGACCTTGACTACCTGTGGCCTCACACCCAAGACATCTGTCTACTCACCTGCATCTGGCATTGGGTGTGCACCCTCAAGGGCAGACCCTTTAGCTCAGCAGGCTTTGGAGTTCACAGCCAGCACTGGTAGTGTCAACCTGAAGTAACACAGGGGACAAGGTGGCTGACTAAATGTAGCTGGGAGCACCTCTTGCGCTGAAAGAAAACAAAATATTGAGCAAATCTTTACACTTCAAACAGATCATTTGAAATAAAACATTGAAAGTTGATATAGAGGTGATGTAGAAACCAAAGTAGAAGAGGGAGGAATCTGGGAACACTGTACAGAGTTGACAAGCTCCAGGGCCAGAATGGGACCGAACGAAAAGCATACATTGCTAGTGAAACCCAATGCAGAAATCTAGTCACAAATGAACAGCCTCAATCCTCTAAAAACATCCAGAAATTAAGCCAAACAACTATACTCAACACATACCACAATTTGACTCTAAAAGAAATAAAGAATAGAAACACAGGTCAGGTGCAATAGCTCGTGCCTGTAATCCCAGCACTTTGGGAAGCCAAGGTGGATGGATCACTTGAGGTCAGTAGTTTGAGACCACACTGGCCAACATGGTGAAACCCTGTCTCTATTAAAAATACAAAAATTAGCTGGCATATTGGTGAGTGCCTGTAATCCTAGCTACTTGGGAGGCTCAGGCATGAGAATCACTTAAACCCAGGAGGCAGAGG